AACTGCCCCTGCACCTCTAACCTGTACCTCAGCTCAGTATGCTTAATTAAATAAATAAATCTTAAAAAAAAAAAAAAAGCAACAACTATGAAGAAGTGGGATATATTCCAGGGATGCAAAATTATTAAAAAATCTGCAAATTAATCAATATGATACACCACATTAACAAAATGAAAAAATCAATAGATGCAGGAAAAGCATTTGGTAAATAAAATTCAACATTCACCTGAAAATAGTCTCAAGATTAGGACCAACTATGTACCTTTCAAGTATTAGATGGTCTAGTCCAAAGATAAGAAGGTATCCTACTTACGAAAAAATAACACTATGCCCATTTTCAGATGACATATTACATGTAAAAAACCCTACAAACTCTACTGACACATGTTAGATCTCAGGATAGTTACAGTACAGTACCAAAAATCAATTGCATGTTATATACGACAATATATCAGAAAGTGAAATTAAGAAAACAATCCACTTGCAACTGTATCAAAAAGAATAAAATACCAAGGGACAAATTTAACCAAGAGATAAAGCATCTGTGCACTAAAAGCTGAATAACACTGAGGGAATTAAAGATAGCCCTTGTTCATGGACTAGAGTAATTAATACTGTTAATAGAACAGTTCCAAAATATTCATGGAACCACGAAAGACCTATATGAAAAACTAATCTTGAGAAAGAACAAAAGCCAGAGGCATCAAGCTTCTCACTTTCAAACCGTAGTACAAACTTGTTATAATCAAACCAACATAACACTGTCATAAAGACCTATCAATGAAACAGACTAGAGAATTCAGAAATAAGCCCAAGCATATATGTCAATTAATTTATGACAATGGAGCCAAAATTATACAGGGGAGAGAGAATAATCCTTCAATAAATGGCACTGGCAAACCCAGGCAGCCACATGCAAAAGAATGAAAATGGAGTATCTTACACAAAAATCAACTCAAAATGGATATCCTCCAACCCAGCAATGCCACTTTAGGGCTTTACTTTGTATACATGAAATAATACATGTATAAATTTATTCACTGAAGTACTAACTGTAATAATAAAAGGCTTGAAACAAAGGAGGAAGTTCTATGTATAACTAATATTGAATATTATCATTAACTGAAAAAACTAAAGGTGAAAACAGTGCATAAGTTACTTTCTGTTAAGTATCTGCGCTGAGGAAGGAGAGAAATTAGGGGATTAGAAAAATAATACAAATTAAACACAAATATATAAGTGTGGGAATAATAATTACCCAGAGATACAGGTATAGAAAAAACAACAGAAAAGTCACTGAAACCAAAAGTTGATTCTTCAAAAAGACCAATAAAACTGACAAAACTTTAGCAAGGTCTCTTATGAATGTTGGTGTGAAAATCCTCAAGAAAATGTTAGCAAACAGAATTTAAAAATATGTTAAAAGGATTATATACCTTTCAACAAGTGCGACTAAATCCTAGACTGTCAGGATGGTTCAAACACAAAACTAATCAATCAACAAAAAGGGGAACAAAACAGACACAGTGAAGTTGTTTAGAATATAAAATTTATCAAAAAGCACTATCAGGGCCTCCCTGGTGGCGCAGCGGGTTAAAGCACAGCACTGAGAAGCTAAAGCCACTTCCACATGAGTTCGATTCCCACCTGTCCCGGAGGAGATCCACATGAGGAGGCAGACCTCTCCTGACCAGCCCGCTGCTCCCCTCAGCAGTGTGCTTCGATCGATTTGCCTGTTCTGCTTCCCACTCTGTCTCTGGTGAAACCTCTCACCACTCCTGAGCCTCTGGCCTGTACCCCAGTTCTGTATGTACAAATAAATAAATCTTTAAAAAAAAAAAAACACTATCAACTGAAGAAAAATGCAACCCACAGAATGGGAAAAACATTTGCAAATCATAATATTTGATAAGGGATTAACATCCTGAATAATTATTCAATTCATTCAAAAAATGAGCTGATTCAAAAATGGACAAAGAATTTAAACAGACATGTCTCCAAAAAAGAAATAGATTGGCCAATAAGCATATGAATGTTGGTGAGAATACTGAAAATAGAAATACCTGTGCCCTGTTGGCAGGAGTGTAAAATGATATAGTTGCTACAAAAATCAGTACATCTCTCCCTAAAAAAAAAAAAAATAAAGATAGAATATAGCAATTGCACTTTTGAACACTGCCCCAAAGAACTGAAAGCAAAGCATAAAGAGAAATTGATGCATCCATGCTCGTAGCAATAACAGTAACACACAGAAGCAAACCAAGAATCCACTGACAATTTAGCAAAATGTGGTCTATGGAATATTTATTAGTCAGCCTTAAAATGGAAGGAAATTCTGCAATAACATATATGACCTGGGGGTGAGGGGCATTATGCAGAGTGGTAAACCAATAATAAAAAAAGACAAAACCACTGCAAGATTCCACTTACAGGTGGCAGAGTAATCAAAAATCCAGGTCCACAGAGAGGGAATAATAGGAGTTACATAAAGTTTAAGTTTTACAAGAAGATGGATGGTGTTTTCACAACAATGGCAATGTATTTAGCACCAAATTGTACATTTTAAAAAACAATCTTTCATATACTTTACAATTAAAAATTTTTTTAAGTTTTTTTACATATGCCCAAAATATCCCTATATGGATACTTCAGAAATAAAATAATTTTCTCTTACAGGAGGGAAATGCTGTTGGTTGAAGAGAATTTGAAGGAAAAAGACTTCATACTATACACCTTTTTTACTGCTTAATTTTGAGCACTAACTGCCTATTTCCTCAAAAACTAATTTTACAAACTTTCCTACACTGCTGGTGGGAATGCAAACTGGTCCAACCACTATGGAGAGCTGTGTGGAGGTTTCTCAGTCTACTAAAGCCACATGACCCAGTAATTCTACTCATAGGAATCTACCCAAAGGGCACAAAAATACTAATTCAAAAGGACACCTGCACCCCAATGTTTACTGTAGCATAATTTACAATAGGTAAGCTATGGAAGCTACTCAGATGCCCAAAAATAGATGCCTAGATCAAGAAGATGTGGTGTATTTACACAATGGACTATTACTCAGCAATTAAAAAGAATAAGCTCATGCCTTTGAGCTAGAAGGGAGCTGGTAGGGTTTGTGCTTAGCAAAATAATCCAGGAAAAAAAGAAAAATATCGAATCTTTCATTTATAGAAGAAATGTAGAGAAAACAAGAAAGGAATTTTTTTTTAAAGTTAACTATAATAAAAGTAAAAATCAAAATCATCAAGATACTATAGATCAGAGACATTCCGTAGGGGAGGAGGAGGAAGAAGGACCAGGACAGGAGTGGGAGGAGTGCAAGGGACTATGGTGATGGTGCTTTTGTAAATTGGTGGTGGGAATTTCACCGGGAAACCATACATATTGAACAAAAACAAAGGATGATGTAGTGAATATACTAAAAAAAATTAAAACTTAATTTACCAAAAAAATGTTGGCAGCACTTAAACCAAATAAATAATGGGACTATACTAGATGTGGAATGCATTTTAAACTTGTTTCTTTTTCATTTTAGAAACTTGGCATTTGCCAACTTAAAAAAAAACTATTTCTGGTAAAAACAGGAAAAAAATAGTTGAGTCAGGTTCAATTAAGTAACTGTTTTATTGAATACTACCTTCAACTATTACCTATTAAATAATTCTTCCTCTTTTGGTCATGATTTTTCTCTTTTCTACTAAGTCAAAACATAACTAAAAGTCATGTTAAAAGTCTGTTAAAAGCGGACTGTAGTGAAGAAACGATTTCCTGAATGTTTTACAAGACAGTCCACTTCCTTATTTCTATTCTATAGCACAAACCACTTCAACCACAGTATTTACGTATCACTTAAAGTATATGTTTATTGAACTAAGTAACAGAAAATTTAAAAAGAGCATTGCTTTTCTGTTTTTCTACTGTTTGCCCTTAATCTCGAATAGGAAAAAAAAAGGGACACTGAGTAAATCTGAGTTTAAATTAATCATTTATATATTTGAGATAAAGTTTATAAGCTGCAGCTGTTTCAGTATAATTTTCCTTTTTAATCTATTGGTTTTTCTTTGAAACAAGCATGCTAAGAATTCGGTTAAACAAATGCATTTTCTACGTAATATAATTCACATAATGGAAAAGAACAGTACATGTGTACAAATAATACAAACTAGATAAACCTAGACATTTCTTTTTTAACACTGGCACATTAGTAGACTCCATCTTTGAGTAATTCTTCTTTGGTAATAATGAAAACTTTACACCTCCATACGCTCCCCTTTCTATTACAAGGAAATCCAGAAACGAAACCTCTGAGTCATTTAATCTCAAAGGATATTTCCTTCTAAACATGCCCAACGGGTAATGTTTCTCCCTTTCTTTCCTTAAACTTCTCCAGATATAAGCACAGAGCAAACAACCTCTCCCCCACTCTTTCTAGAAAGTCAAGGATTCGCCCACTCTACAAACACCTCCTTCCTCTTTCCAAATCCAGGACGTCCCCATTAAGCCACCAAGGAAAGTGATTAGTACAACGCACCGAAAGCCAACAGCAAGCCGAGCCGTAGCCGGCGGCAATCTCTGGAAATCGAATCCAAATCGAACAAAAATGAGTCGAAAGGGACCGACCCGACAAAAGAGTCTCAGAGCAGCAGCGGGGGCCGCCAGCTTCGCCACAGGCCGGGCTGCAGAACTGTGTCCCCAATGCCTCCTGCAGCTCCCACCCCTACCCCAGGCTGCAGCCGGATCTAGAAACCCAAGGGTCGCGGGGCAGAACCGCGCGCAACCAGCGCAAACTTTCACCCCGGGCCTGGCGGGGCACCAAGGTGGGGCGCAGAGCCCATCAAGAGAGGGCGTAGCCACTGTCTGCCGAAAGCCGAAGCGCTCAGGGCGCTTTCCGCTAAGTGGCCGGGGGCCCCCAACACCCCCGCCCATCTGCCCTCCAAGGTCGTCTACTAGGAAGGGCCCAGAGGGGTGTTCCTCTACCAGGGACTGCTCACCTAGGCCGCAGGAAACCGCTCGAAGCCGCCGCCGTCAGTCACTGACGCCCACTTCCAAGAAAACCGAAGAGAAGTGGGGAGCGTTCTAGGCCCGCCCGACAGCCCAACGCGTCACGCCGCGGCCCCCGCCTTCCGCCCGCGCAGGCGCGGAGCTCGGTCAGGTGACCACGTCGCCTTGGTAACCGAGCAGCGGAAAGGGACCCTGGCCAGGTGGGATAAATTGGTGGGTGGGGAAAGTAGCGCTCCTCTTGCTGCCCAGGTTGCGCTCGAGACCTTCACCACTGTCAGGACAGTTCCAAGGTGGAGGTGCCACCTGCTCATTTGTGTTTACCATTACTTGCGATACAAAAGAGGGTCCCCCGAACTTATCCTTGGGAGATTTCCGAACCTAGCCTGGGACTTTGACCTTCGTGGTCCAACACTTGGATAGCTCTGATTTACTTCTCCACGCACAGGTTCAGAAACTTTGCTCCCACTAAACATTCTCGATCCCCTGCTGTCTTTGTTTTGCAATTTTTTTCAAATAATGGCCTAGCAATTGAAGACTGTGTGTGATACTACAGTACAAAATAATAACTAGTTCCTAATCCAAAACTTAAACAACAGTTTTGAGAGTAATTATATTTCAATCACTGTCCTAGAGCATGACTTATATAGTTTTAATTGATCCTTATATCAATCTGTAAGATACACTACATAAGAAACCGAGGCAGTTTGGCATAGTTATCATGGTATGCCATACAGTAATTCACAAAATAGTGTTAACCTAGAATAATTTTATGTTTAGTGTTTCACTTAGCAGAATGCCCTCAAGGTATGTGGATACTGTTACAGGTGAAAGAATTTCCTCCTTTTAATTATATATATATATATATGTACATATATATCTTCGTGTTACAGTGTTAGACACACACACACACACATATATACCCACCTTTTTATTCATTCATCCAGTTATTGACAATTGGATTGGTTCTATGTCTTAGCTATCGTAAATAATGCTGTTATGAACATAGGGGTGTGAATATATATTTTTGAGTCAGTATGGATTAATTCCTTTGGATTAATACCTAGAAGTGGAATTTTTGGATCATATAATACTTTTATTTTTAATTCACTGAGAAATCCCCATACTGTTTCTGACAGTGGCTGCACCAATTTCCATTCTCTCCAACAGTACACACTTGTTATGTCTTCTCTTTTTTGAAATAGCCAGTCTAAAGTATGAGATGATTTTGTCATTTTTGACTTATATTTCCTTGATGAATAATGATGTTGAGTAACTTTCATGTACTTTCTATTGCCTGTGTTCTATCTGTATAGTTTCTAAATACTTACTCAAGTCCTCTGCTGATTTCTACATTGTGATTGTTTGATTTCCCTTTATTGATTTATGTAAGTTCTTTATGCATCCGCACAGTGGAGTATTATTAGACTATAAAAATAAATGAACTATCAAGTCATGAAAGGACTAAGGGGAACCTTAAATGCATATTACTATGTGAAAAAAATCTGCTTAAAGATGCTACTCTATGTTATATGATGGCAGCCAAATGGCATTCTGATAAAGTATAATTATGGTAACAGTATAAAGATCTGTGGTTGTCAGGGGGTTGGAGAATATGGGGAAGGATAAGTAGGTGAAGCGTACAGTACTTGAATTTTAGGTTGATGAAATTATTCTTAATGATTGCTTAGAAGTATACTTACGATATTATGTAGTCATCAGAATATATAAGGCAGTATATACAAATCATGTGTGTGGGGTCTTTGTCTTTAATCTTGCATGAGAATTTCAGAAATTCTTGGAGTTTCATGATGATAGTTTCATGAGTAATTAGAGATTTGAAATATTCAGTCCTACTCTCCCACCTTCAGGGAGAAAAGTATGCTAGAGACCAAGTTCATGCACATCATACCTATACAACAAAACCCCACAATAAAAATCCTGAACATTCATATTCAATGGAGTTCTCTGGCTGGTGGATGTATCCATATACATGAACATTGATACCCAACTCCATGGATACAAAGACTACTTGCAGTTGGGACTCTCCTGTACATCTGGCTATTTATTTGAATTCTTTAAAAATTTTAGTTGTGAGTATAGTGTTTTCAGTGATGTTTGTAATCATGCTAGAGACACATCAACTTTGAAGGAGGATTTTTGTAAGAGCCATCAAATTTGTAACCATGTTGAACAGAAAAGTAGGGATCATAAGGGCCCCATTTTCAACTTCTCTCCAAAGAGGGGCAGTCTTGGTGGAGACCTTGTTCTTTAACTTATGAGATATGACCTAACCAATAAGTGATAGCTATTCAGTGACTATGATTAGCAGTTAAATCATCGAACACTCGGGTATTGATGGAATGGAACATACTATATATAACATGAAGAATGAATCCTACTATAAGGCATGGAGTTTAGTTAATAATAATGTATGGATACTGGTACCTCAATTATAATGTGTACCATAACAATACAAGATTCTAAAAAATAGAATGTACTGTTTGGGGGGAGGTGAAAGTATTTTGTACAGTTCACTCAATTTTTCTGTAAATCTAAAACTGTTCTAAAGATAAAATATGTTAAAACTATAATTGCACAAATTGAGTTGTAAAGGATGCTTGAATCAAAAGCTGAGAAGGCTAGAGAAAGTCATTACATTGGAACCAAAATCAGTATAGAATTTCATGGAATGAATTTTTGAAAATTTGACTTTTGGGTTGAAAAGTAAGTATTAGTCAAATAACAAATGGAGAAAAAGTATTTCAGACTAAGAATAAGAAATAGAAAAGCATACATTGCAGTTGAAGTTTGATGCATTTCAAGAAGGCGTCAAGAAAGGCCACTATGGCCAGAACACAAGACTAAGAGAAGAAAGATGAAGATACAGAAAAGGCTGTATAGAAACTACGGAAAAGGGTAACATAAATAGACTTACAGTTAAAATTGAACATTCCAGTTATTGCTTGACAGATGGGTTGTATTATGTGGGTAAGTCTGGGATGTGGGGAGCTATACCAAGAGACTACTACAGTAATCCTGATGTGGGCGAAATCAAAACATTTTTGGATAAAGAATCAGAAAGACTTAATTGTTCAGGTTTGATGTAGTTTAAATACAGGGAAGTTTGTAAGATGTTGGAACATTAATTTAAGACTGGATACAGTAAAATGAACAGATATAAAAACAAGAAGCTGAGAATACTGCTTGTTGATTTTATTAAATTTAAGTCAGCATGTGAGTTACTAGTTGTAGTAAACTAAATAATAACTCCCAAAGATGTCCATGTCCTAATTCAAAAAAATCTTTAAAAATGTTACCTTAAGGCCCTCCCTGGTGGCGCAGCTGGTTAAAGCACAGCACTAAGAAGCTTAAGTCACTTCCCATGAGTTCAATACCCCCCTGCCCTGGGGGAGATCCACATGGCGCAGCAGACCTCTCCTG